TGGAGCTCGCAAAACGGCCACGAGTGCATCATGAAGGGCCCAATATACTTCAAAGTAGCGTTGACGTGCGCCGGCGCGAATTGCGAGAAGCTGCATTTTGCGCCGATGCGTTACTCAGACATCACAGCGTCTACCACTTTTCGTAACGGAGGGACGCCGGGTGCCCTGAAACGCGCATGCGTCAAAGCAACGCAGCGCGCCGCGCGCCTGCGAGTATATGGCAGGACCGGTGCCTGGCATGGCAACGCCGCTGACGCAACAAAATGAACGCCGGTGAGCACGCGCACGACGTCACGTCGAAATGCATTGACGCCTTGATTGTGCCATTTAGTCATGTTCTCATAAGACATGCATCTCATTATTATCATGTTTGCACCAGTCACATACCTTCCTCACCCATTGGCGTCACGTAAAATTAAATTAGACATAAGTGAAGCTAGCTGAACGGCCGCGAGCGCATCATCAGTGTGGCATGTAGTCATGTTGTTACAGGACACGCATGTCGTGGTTATCATGTTTGGATGTGTCATTTACCTATGTCGTCCATTCGCGTCGTGTAGTACAGAGTTTGGCACATGTGAAGCTAGCAAAACGGCTGCGAACACATCATGAGCGTATCATGTAGTCACGCTACATGACACCCATGTCATGATTTTCATGTCATGGTGTGTCGTTTGTGTTCGTCATGCAATCATGCCATACCATACCAGTTTGGCAGCATGTCATGTGAACGAAACCACCGCAAGAGCTGCAGAACCGTAAACTGTAAATCATAATATTCATGACATACATGTCATGATTTTCATGTTATGACTAGTCAAGTATGTTCTTCATACAGTCATGGTATGCCGTATCAGGTTTGCTTCTGATACCATTATCGAAATGGCCAGGACAGCTAGAAGCCCTAGGCGGCTAGATAGATAGATAGATAGATAGATAGATAGATAGATAGATAGATAGATAGATAGATAGATAGATAGATAGATAGATAGATAGATAGATAGATAGATAGATAGATAGATAGATAGATAGATAGATAGATAGATAGATAGATGGCATTTCGAGAGGTAAACAGACGAGCCGGCGAACGTGTTCCCTGTAGAACAATTCCACCAGACTTACGTCACAAAAATGCGGTGGCACTGTCTTGGTAGGCAAAAGACGCTGTGTCTACCACAGTTTCTGCTTGGTTTTCAAAGGTGCATGTGGTGTTCTCAGTAAAGTAACACGAAAAAAAAAACGGTATGCTGACGAACTGCGTCGCGCGTGGATGTGAGGCGCGTCTCACAACTTAGTTTTGTTTGTTGGCGCACGTCGCAGCCCTCAGCACTTTAGGGGGGAGTTACGTGCGTACGTCGCTATAGTTTTATCTATAATGTCGATATTGACCTACCTGTGTTTACAAACATGGAATGGGTCTTATATAGGCTCTTGTAGTCTCGCACAGTTGCAACACAACCAAACATTTTGTGTGGCTTGGCTTACCATGGCGCATTCGTTTTTTCCTTCAAGGATACGTGGAACTAGAGCGAACCTCGCTCAACGATGGCGAAAAGGATTTTGCTTTAATAATACAGAATGCGACAGATTTTCTGCTCATGTCTGTGCATCGTCCTGTCTGTCTGTTGGTCCTAAATAGTGCAGTATATGTGCACTAAGCAAGTCGATTGTTGGCACATAACTCAAGTATGCTTAATGAGAGATTGGTGCTGCATCGTTAGTTTCGTCGTTCTTTCGTTCCATAACCAACCACAAAAACTATTTGATATTGTGAACCCAGTTTTTATTTAGTGCTGGTAAGGAAACTGTGAATAGACTCCGTATATGTGGTCGGCACCGTGTATGACTTTTCGTTTTATTGCTTTATTGTAAACCAACTGCGAGGACACAAGCTTCCAGCAAAGCAGGCAGGACGGTTTAAAGAAATCAAGGTCAAATGCTATTTGGATGGTGTTTGCAATAAAATCTGACCTGGAAAAACTTGGTTTGTTCCTTGTTGCTCCTATTTGCTTTTCCGCTAGCCTAGTATACAGGCTTGTGCGGGGGGAGAAGGGCGGGGTTGGTTTAGTATGGTTGGGTGCCCGACTATTTTATGTCAATGCTTAGAGCTTCGAAAATTTTTAAGCAGTCAATTGTACAGATTCGTTCGCAGGAACTAAACTTGCTACAGGAAATTATATTACGGACAAAAGCAATATTTAGTGTATAAAAAACTGGCTAGCGGAGTCATGCACTTTACAGCAAACTTCGCGAGCTACCCGGTTGTTTGATCTTGCTTCCCTGTCGTTATGGGTGCCGTCATATAATACAGCATGGTCTTGAGCTTTGTGCTAGAAGGCTTCTGAGGTGTCTGCAGAAATAAGGTGAGTTTGCTTCAGGAATGCCGCGTAATTATTTATTTCCGTTTACAGTGAAATCCAGGTTCTCCCCTTCGCAAATATAAGCCCCCTAAATATCCCCACTCCACCACTGCGGTGGGTCTACCAACTGTTTTAACGGTATTTTATACAAACTCGAGCAACGAACACATTTTTTTTTGTTCTACAGAACGGCGGCTAACTTCAGAAAACAACCCTTCAGCTTTGAGAACTTGCTAAATAAACCCTTCTCGTAGAAACTCACGCTGGCTTCAATGTACAAAAGTAACCTCTAAGAACCAACATAGCAGCCCGTCAAGTAGGGCGGCTGTTTTAGCAAGTCGCAAGCAACCATGATCGAAGTTTTCACCACCCTAAAACACAGAGAGATGCGCCCATGACGGCTCCCTAGTTGCCTTAGTGGCGGCGCGCCATCTAGTGAGCACTCTTGAAACGAAAAGCACCACTGCGCTCTAGCGGTAACAAAGAGCACTAGCCTACACGCCAACGCAACGACGAGAGACAACAACCCCACCTTAACCGCGCAAAAGAAGCAAGCTGCTATTAAGAAAAAAAATGCTCATTGACGTCATGGTTTTCTAACGCATGCGCCTGAGCGCATGGTTGCAAGTACAACTCCGGGTGACAAAAATATTTCTGATCGTTTCTAACACCAAAGTGTTCAAGCCGGGCCCCACCAAGATTCACTGACGTATTTATTCACAGAAATTACGTCAAACATTATGCACTATATATAAAAAAGTTTCGCTAACGGTAGCCGAACTTATGACATCTCTGTCCACAACAACGTACGCTCTGCCGGCACACTTATTATAAGCCACGGCCACATGGTTCACACGCTTTAAAAAATGCCCCTTTTGTAAATACCAGTGTCCTCTCATAGCGTCTCTGTTAAAATGCTGTAATGCATAATTACCACGGAATCCGCGATTACTTCCTTCCCATTCGGTCCTTCCCATTCGGCGCATTTAAAATATAACAAGGGTGGTTTATCAACGCCTTAACACACTTTTACGTGGCAAGCTTACCCAAGCATCGTAAATATATTTACCCTGTAAAAGTGTCAGCGTCGCTCATAGCATACATGCTCGTCATGAAATGTTGTGAACCAAAAACTGAAGAGTTCGGCTCCTATTAGCGATACTTTTTTTTCTGATTGTGCATATTTTTTTACGTCATTTCCGTGAAATAATACGTCAAAGAAGTTTTGGTGGACTCCGCTTAAATACTTAGGTGTTAGAAATGATCAGAAATATTTTTGTCGCATGGTGTATACTTGCGACCACCCGTTCGCTTTCCCGACATTAAGCCTGCCTAAGGCAAGTCCGCCAGCAAGTCCCAAGCAGCAGCATGGCTCAGTTGTAAATTACTGGACTGGCACCTAGTGGACCAGGGTTAGATCAAGTCCCACAGTGTCATCGGTACTAGGTGTCTTTTCTTATTTTGTGCAATGTGGTTACGGACACCGACGGCAGCGGCGGACAAGTACGGCGCTGCGCGTGACCCTAGTTGTGATCTCCCAACAGCTTTCTCTGTAATTTGTGGAAGTTCTGCGGAAACAGATAAAAGGGTTTCATGGGTTTCCCGGGAAAATGACAGAAGTACACTTGCGAGGTCAATTGCTATGCTAGTATTCATTATAAATTTTGTCAAGGGAGAAAGCATTCATTATGGATTTATTCGTCATTGTGTGGAGAATAGTGTTACCTGCGACGCTTTTGTAATGCGTTAAATACACGTTGGTGATGCTGAGGACTGACGACTGAGAGTTATGTCTGAGCTTTTTGTATTTTGTTAGAAGCATTGAAAGATACACACGTAACGAAATTCGCATTGTATCACGCAGGCCTATCAAGCTCGCATTAGCCTGGTTGTTATCCTGTTCTTCCACTACGAAGTATTACCCATATCAGCATGATTAAATTTGTTTTTCCTCGACGCAAAAGATGTATGGGTTGTTTTTGCGAATGAGTTTGGAGCATGGATATGGCTCTGAGTTAGATTACAGGGTCGCCATGAAGCGTGCTTAAATTTACCGACGTTTTACCCCGGATAGTTTATCTCGCGGCTTGTTTGTTTTTTCTTCATGCGTTAGAGCTTACGGGCACCAGTGGTGGGGACGACGGCGGCAGACAACTACAGCGACAAAGACAGTCACGCTCTTTTGATTTCAGGAGAGCTTTCGCAATTAAAATGAAGCAAAGCTTGCTGCTTATTTCACTAAGCATTCGTTGCGTAGCTCTCAATGCGGATTGATTTCATAAGTTTTAAATAAAACCTTGAGCGTCAGTAGTGTATTATCTAACTCTTCTGCTCCTTATATGGCACGTCGTTCTACCGAATTTTATTCGCTGGCATGTTTCCACTTTTATTTAAGGATAAATTGATATTTCATCACATACATTCCATAGTCACTGTCTCAAACCTCCTTCGTATCCGAGACGTGCAAACATTTGTGAAGAATTCGCAGTAAAGGCATTTGAACATAAGCACAAGGCCACTATGATCAGAATATTTGTCGAATCGTATAAATAAAATCACAGTCATGTGCAGTTCCGCTGCTTGTTCTTCGTGTAAGAAAAGTTAAATGCAATGGAGAGCACAAGCGAGAAAATATCTTACTTCTTGGAGTTCCCAAAATGGTACACCAGCGCTAGAAATGTGCAGTAAACTTAGGACAGGAAAATACAAAATTATGGAGAATAATACATCCATGGCTTTTAAGTTGTCTTTCGGAAGTATTAAGTGTTGCGCTGTACCCAAGCCATAGTGCCTTAAATATTGCACTTGTACAGCAAGTGCGTAATATTTTTCTTCCGTGTCTTGCTTTGCTATTGTCTCAATCTAGCCATCTGTTAGGCAATGAAGAATGCTCCCAAAGAGATCCCCTTAACGAAAACAGATGAAATCTTTTTCTGTTGAAAGTGCTGCTTTCACAGACATATCAATTGTATTTGTTGATTGAGTAGTACTAAAATAACAATGCATAAAAATGTGCAACCTATAATGCCCGACACAAATTTTCTCTAGGACGGCGTAAAATGCGGATAACTTGAGTGCTACATTGCACCAACAATTTTAGCAGTCTTCTAGGCGTAGATTTTGCACACCTTATGACGAAGGTTTTCACGCCTTATACCTAAAAAACTGCAGGTTCTGGTATGCATTCGAATAGGATGACTATAGGGTAAAGCCTTCAATTCTTTCTTCTAGGGTCTTGTACTTGTGCCGCTTATGAAGAAATCTAGAGCTTTCGCCTTCATTCATACTACCTCAGTCAAGCTTTTTGGGAATCAGCCATTTCCGATATGCACTTTGATGACTTATTGATGTCACTGTTGATTTTACCTTGAGCCAATGTCTTGATATCTCAATGCTGAAAAGGTGAAACACGAGATAGTGTGCCTAAGCCCTGCAATAAAGGATGCAACATGTTTGTGCCGCAAAGCACAGGAGGACCATAGTTAATGTGCTTCTGAGAAAGGGTGCGTAGGAATTCCTTTATTGTGCTGAAAAATGTATGTAAGTAAAACTGCAAGAAGTGCCAAATAAAAGAGTAATGAGGCATGCGAAATATGTGAAAACGCGCGCGGCGAAAATATCATGAAAAGTCTCTTGTCAGCCATTGTATAACTTGCCAGTATTGCTCTCAAGATTTTAACAAGCACTTCTGTCACTAAGAGAGGCAAAAAAGAATGAACCATGCAATCGTAGACTCAGAGCACATTTCCTACGTGGCGCGGTGTTGTGCAAGCGTTCCAGGTCACTAGCTGACCGATAAAGTTATGACCTACCTGCGCTTCTGCTGCGGATGCCGTCTACAGTAAACACTATATTAAAAGTGAAATTTTCTAATAAATGTTCACGAAAGTCAGCGCTCAATGCCATCGTTTGTGTTGTGTCCATTGAATATTTTTTAGCTGCAGTCCGCCAGAGTATCGTTCCAATCCGGTCATCTAGCCGCTTTCATCAAGTTACTTTCTTCTACCAAGGGCTTTTTCTCTTCCTCCTATCTGACTGGCTCATGACCAACGTTTCTCACATCACTTTCACAGTACGTCGCAGACGTGGATTTTCTTTTCGCCTTCACACCAAAACCATCAGGATGCTAGTGTGCTTCTAGGTAGTATCCACCTCCTATTCTAAAACCAAATAATGCCAATAATGAGTTTGCGGTTGTAATTGAGACACCAGGCCTGCCTGTACCGAGACATTCTGAGAGTGCAAGTTTGCAGCGTGGTTCCGGCATCACCGCAACATCACGAGTTGCGGGCTTTCTACGCTCTGAAGGACAAAATCGCGGAGTTCTTGTGGCAACTAGTCCAGGAATCTGGTCCACCCAAGCTCGCAAGAGTTACAGTGCAACGTACACATCATAGGTGACGTAACTTTGCCAGTCGATGTAACGCGTGTTTTTTTTTGTTTTGTTTTTTTTTGCCACGAACGAAAGTTTGGTGTGGTATATTTGTGCTTTTGTACCTTTTCTTTTCACAAAATATACCTTTTCTTTGTACGTGAGGTTTCGCATTTAGCTTCTCCCGATGAGAGCACACCTTGTCCTTCGGAAGGTCTCAAAGTCGTAAAAGTTGCAGGAACCTGCATCCCACTTCACTTGTTATACGAGGGGCTTCTTTCCTACGTGATGACTCTCTCCGCAGTCTTCTCCCGGATGATTAAGGTGGTTTTACGGTTTTACCATTTGTATTACTTGAATGAAAGTCGAGAGAAGCAACTTTCACAGTCTTCAACTTCTGCCTCGATAGTTCGCTGTGTCAAGTAAAGGAAACAATGAACTGACATGTTTAACCACCCTAATTGAGTTAAGCTGATCACTAACAGCAAGAAAAAAAGCTTAAACATCTTTTTAGTAATAAAACACAAAGTCGGCACACCCTATCAGACCATTTTCTACAAATCTGGAACACCGCATTGTGTTATAGCACTTTTGTTGTTGCATAATCTGAAGGTTTTTGTGATAGATGACCCTTTAATTGAAACTCATGCTCACGAAGCATTAGAAGTCTGACACTTACACTGAGAGAGGCTGTCCGGCTTTCTAACAAACTTCATATTTTCTTTTTTTTTCATTTTCCTGCTTTATGGTCTACTGGTCGAGTTTGTTGCCCTATTCATTGGCAAACATGTTTTAGTTTAATTTTTTAAAACTCTGTAGAGAAGTCTGGTAGTGCTCTTTTAAAACTCTTAAGCATTTCTTTGTGATCTGCATAGAAAATATATGAAGGAATTCTACACCTGCTGAAGGAAGGCCCATGCATTGGTTCCTGTATTGCAGTGATTTTCAGGGAGATGTAGTTGGACATTTTGCTCACCAGAAAAACGATTCGGTCACATAAGAAAGTGTTCGTAGAATAATACACCATGTCAATGAATTTCTAGTTGTTTGGATTTGCGAGCCACACGATTTGTAAGTAGAAAGCAATGTGCCCCTTGATTTATTTTTTTATGCGATGAGCCCACTTAGCCTAACGCACAAGCTTTAAAATTATGTCAAACTCGCAATTTTAGATATCTTGCTTCATATTAAAGCACTTGGCATGGGCTGGTGCCACGAACGACGCACTCACAAACCATCTCTGCCTTTCGAATCCTCCCACTGTAAGATCGTTAGGCCATCTATTGCTACGTCGCGCCTAATGAATGCCCTGGGCACATCTTTCCCACACTATTCTTCTGAAGCGTTTAGCGTTGTGGCGGAGATGCAGAGAAAGAATGATGCTACATCGAATGCGAAAACCGTAGAGTTTCAAAAAAAAAGGCAGATCCTACGCACAGTAGGAACCGATGATATGCGAAGCACGAATTAGAAGTGTTGATATGTCACTTTAAAGTCAGCACAACGTTACGAGGTGGAGGTAAAAGATGTCGTATCTGACTTCTGTGTCATGATTATCATGCTTTGATGTGTCGTTTACCTTCTTCATTTATTCACGTCACGGGATACCGAATTCAGTATATGTGGGCCTAGCAAAACGGCCGCTAGCACGCTATGAGCGTGGTATGTTTTCATGTTCTTACATAACACGTGTGTCCGGATAATCATGTTTGCACCATTCATATATTTCGTCATCCATTGACGTCACGTAACACCAAATTTGGTATATGTGGAGCTAGCAAAACGGTCGCGAGCGCATCAAGAAAGGCCCAATATACTTCTATGTATCGCTGACACGCGCGCACGCTGCATGGGAACAGCGATTCTACGTTAGCAAAGCGCGAAAACTCTATAGTCTGACCCCAGGCATGACCAGCGTCCGTCAGCGCGGCCCGACGGCAACCGGCGTGACATGCGACATCCTGCATTTCGCACCGATGCGTTACCCAGACAACACAGCGTCACCCTGTTTTCGTGACGGAGGGACGCTGGACGGGCTGAAACGCGCATGCGTCCAAGCAACGCAGCGCAGCGTGCGTCTGCGAGTATTTCACAGGCATGGCAACGCCGGTGAGATGTGACGAAATGAACGCCGGCGAGTATGTGCACCGCGTCACGTCGAAATGTGTTGGTACCTCCACTGTGGCATGTAGTCATGTTTTCATAGACACGCATCTCGCCCGCTGCGCGCTGACGCACGCCTTGCAGGACCTCAATAAAGTTTCGCAACCAACGCATCTCAGGATTATCATGTTTGATCCAGTCACTTACATCGTCTTCCATTGACATCACGTAATAACAAATTTGGTGTATGTGAAGCTACCGAAACGGCCGTGAGGCATTATCAGTGTGGCATGTAGTCATGTTGGTACATGGCACGCATGTCGTGATTATCATGTTTCAATGTGCCATTTACCTGTGTCGTCTGTTCGCGTCGAGTGATACCGAGGTTGGTACATGTGAAGCTAGCGAAATGGCACCGAGCGCGTCATGAGCGTAGCATGTAGTCATGTTGGTACATCACACGTATCTCATGTCTAACATGTTTGCACCAGTATCATACTTTTGTCTTCCATTCACGTCCCGTTATACCAAATTTGGTATAAGTGAAGCTAGCGAAACGGCCCCCAGCGCTTCATGAGCATGGTATGTAGTCCTTTTGGTACACTACGCGCATGCCATGCTTTTCATGTTTGCAACAGTCACATTCCTTCATTATCCATTGACGTACTGTAATACCATATTTGGTATATGTTACGCGAGCGAAACGGCCGTGAGCGCATCATGAGCGTGGCATGTAGTCATGTTGTTACATGGCACGCATGTAATGATTTTCATGTTAGGGTCTGTTGCTTGTGTTCGCCATGCAATCATGCCACACTATACCAGTTTTGTAACATGCCATGTGAACTAAACCTCCGCAATAGCTGCAGGACCATGAAATGTAAATCATGACATTAATGACCAACATGTCATAATTTTCGTGTCATGACTAGTCAAACATCTTCTTGACACAGTCATGTTATGCCATACCAAGTTGGTATTAATACCATTATCGAAACGACCAAAAGAGCTGAAAGTTTTAGGTGGATAGATAGATAGATAGATAGATAGATAGATAGATAGATAGATAGATAGATAGATAGATAGATAGATAGATAGATAGATAGATAGATAGATAGATAGATAGATAGATAGATAGATAGATAGATAGACAGACAGACAGACAGACAGACAGACAGACAGACAGACAGATAGATAGATAGATAGATAGATAGATAGATAGATACATAGATAGATAGATAGATAGATAGATAGATAGATAGATAGATAGATAGAT